TAATATAAATTAGTGGTAACTTTATAATGAATCATGCTTAATTTAGTAACAAATCTAAAATGATTTTTTAGTAAATAATTGAAAACTAAGTAGTAAATTAATAATAACATAATAGTAAATGCATAATAACATAATAGTGAATAATTGATAATTTGGATATAAATTATTGATAACTTAATGTTAAATCACTAATAACTTAGTTGTAAATCTATGACAATTTAGTAGTAAATTAGTTAATCAGTGATAACTTTGTAGTAAATCATCGATAAATTAATAGTAAATTTGTTTTAACTTTATAATAAATCATTAACAATATAGTAGTAAATTATCAATAATTTAGTAGTAAATCATTCATAATTTAATAATAAATCACTAATAAATTAGTAGTAAATCAATGCTAATTTAGTACTAAATCATTAATAATTTAGTTGTATATAACTGATAATTTAATAGTAAATCGTTGATAATATAATAGTAAATTAATGATAATTTAATTGTCAATCATTGATAAATTTTTTTTATATACTTAAAGTTGTTAAGAATTAAACTTTGGTTACTAACATAAACTAAGTTAGAAATTTCATCTTGAGAGAGTAGAATAAACTTATTATGAGCCGATTCAATAAAAAATTTATTGAAAAAATTTTAAATTTGAAGGAAATAACAATGTTATTATATAAAAAAAATTATCTTATATTAGAATTGAACTCACATTTTTTTACGGGAATCCATTATTAAATATTTGATAACACAAATTTTATCAATGATTACTAAATATAAATCATAAGTTATTAGAAGGTTATTTACTAAAATTATATTAAGAAATACCAAAATTTTATCAATGATTACCAAAATTACATCATAAATTACCAAACTAATATTGAATGTTACTAAAATTGTATCGAATGTTATCGAAATTTTATCAAAAATTATGAAAATTAAAACTATATCAAAAGTTATCAAAATTTACTTATATTATACCAAAATCAAAATTAAATTATTAATATTTATTATTATTATCATAGTCTCAAAAAATTTTATAAAATGAATTTTTAAAGATAAGAATTATACATATGTCACACATGTATTAAAAACTAATATATATATATATATATATCTAAATTCATATTTACGAGATACATTGACAAAATATCTCGAAAGTATCTCTTTGTTTCTATTACATCCACCAAAAAATGCTGTGTAATTCATTGCAAACAGTAAAAGGAAACAGCTAATTTCTTTTGAGGTTTCTATTACTTTAAGAAAGATGCAGAAATTAAATAGTAGCACTTGCAGGTGTAAAACCCATCTCCTAGAATTCGGGGCTAGTTGGTCCCAATGGTTCACTTCAACCACTCTCATAGGAGTTGAAGTGTTGGGTTTGAGCCTCAACTCTTACAAAAGCCTTCATCTATCCTCTTCAAAGCTTTGCCTACCAAAAATAGAAGAATAAGAGAAACCTTTTTCCATGTAAATTATGAACTATGCCTTCAATTAGGACATAACTTTTGCCAAAAAATCTTTGCCCCTATATGGCATTGGAATTTAAAGTTTTCTTTTAACAAAATTAATTTAAAAATATATAAAAATATAACGTAGTTATGTTGGACACATACTTGTATCTGACCTCATGACCTAATCCATGTAAGACAAACATATATCACCAACTTCAATAAATTCTTTTCCAAGAAGAATGACTTGATATTTCCATTGTTCAAAGAACTCGAACAACCCTTGATTCTATACCTATCTACGATCTAACTGGCCAAGTCCTAATATAGTATTGCTTAAGGTTTTTACCTAATTTCTAAGTTTGAACTAGTGCTACAATGTTATTGAGTATTGACTTAGTCAAAATCTTTGAAAATTTTTGGGTTTCTGTCATAGAGAAGTTCATTTCAAAACTAAGTCTATAAGTCCAGCTCCAGGTTGCTTCCTTGGCCTGCACTCTGGCCAATGATTTTTTAGTATGTAGGGTCCTTCAAGTCATAGATGAAGCCAAAGTCCAAAAGTTGAGGGACCAAAATAAAAATGAATTTATCTTTAGTCAGTCAAATATATCCTTAAATAGCAGAAAAGGTTGGAAGGCCGATATGGCCCATCCCAGAAATAAAATAGTTACGTATGGTAATTTAAAATATAATAAAATAATATAACTGTATTTAGATTCAAACTTTACTGATAACGTGTCAAAAAAAATTGCATACCTATACCAATCACAAATTGATTCAATTGATAAAATCATCAGCCCCAACATAATTGTTTTTGGATACGAATTTTATTATTCACAAATTAATTCAATTGATAAAATCGTCAATCCAATATAATTGTTTGTCGATTCGAATTTTAACAATTATAAATTGACTCTATTGATAAGACCGTCAATCCGATCATAACTGTTTTTGATTCAAACTTTACCGATGACATGTCGTGATCTATCAATCCCTAGTTTTTCATATGAACAAAATTGCATGCCCTGCAATGAAAAAGTTGGGAAAAGCAAATGGAAGAATATAAAAGGTATAAAATCACAAGGCTAGACTGCAACTGCGAATGGAAGTAATTGTAACTGTACAAAAGTGGTCACCACCTCTCAACTTTTCCTTTTTTCTTTATGGTAACGTGGATACGCGTATTCTTTTTGGGGTTTTTTTTATTATGATCTGAAAGGAACAGGTAGGCCCTCATTTTCCTCCTTCCACGTGCAATAATGCTTTCTTTGCATCCAATTTCACCAGTCGTTTCTCTTTCCCTCTGCCTTCCTCTTCTGTACGGCACATGAAGAATTTTTAGGATCCCATCATTTCTGTTATTTGTGTTAGTCATGGTTTGATTTGCACATGCAAATCCATTTTTATCAATGCAAGGAATATTGGTTTTTGTTTATACTACATGATTGCTTAGAAAAGCTTGACAATGATGCCATTTTTTTCCTGCCTTTGAACGTGACAATGACTGTTTTTTTGCCTGTAAAGTCCTCTCTAAGTTACTCCTTTTTTTTTTCTTTGTGTGTGTGTGTGCTTTTTTAAACTTATATACGATGGGTTAAAAGGTTTGACAATGATGCCAATTTTTCCTTATGCCTAGATTAAAACATGACAATATTGACTGATTTTTGCTGTTAAAATAATTCTTCTCCTAAGTTATTTTTTTTCCATTTTACCTAAAATTAAAAGGTTACTAAAGACATTCCAAAATTGAAACGATTTATATCCAAATTTATCAAAATCTAAAATATTTTAAATATGAAATGATTTGATTTTTTTATTAAAAATTGATTTGATTCGAAATAATTTAACTCAAACCTAATCTAACTTACTTATTTTTTATCTCTACAAACAATGTATATGAAATAATGTACTTTTAGGATCATTTAAAAAAAATAAGTTCAAGTAAAATTTAAAAACACCCCTTACCATATTAAAAAATCAATCAAGCCTTCTAGTTAATTTTCTAGTTGCAATAATGTTAGAAGGTGCGTTTAACTTAAATCTTGCAACAGTATGTAGCATCTGAGAGAAGCCAGCTGGGTCCTATCTTTGAGTTACAATTTTAATTGCTAATAAAAAAGAAAGTATGATTATGTACTTAATTAATGAGATCAAAGTGGTCAAGTTGGTGAATTTACAAGTACAAATAATTATAGACAAACTTTTACTTGACAGAGTGGTACCGAGCATGCCTATTGCTAAACTTTTCAACTAATCATGATTAGTGTCTGTTAATTCTTTTTTATTAGGAAAAACCAACATAAATGCCACCATGTATGATGGAAGGTACCAAGAAACTTGAGAAAGAGAGAGAGAAAGAGGGATGGAAAAAAAATAAAGGGTCACATTACCCTCCATGTGAGTCTGATTTCGGGACAAAGCAAGGAAATGGGTGGGCTCTTACAAACAGTTCACATGGGAAGGGGAAAGACATGATTCTTACAAGTTCCCTTTCTTTCACAGCTCATCCATACCCCAAAATCCTACATTTTCCCACTATAAACAACACTATATGTTATATCTTTATATTCTCCCATTAGATTTTCTTCCCCATTTCAACAAAATAACCTGTACCCAAGTTGCCACATATTGATTTATAGGTGCATGCATTTACATGTGAAGAGATAAATGGAATAATTAATAATCTTTTACTTAAAAACCCTTTTAATTCTTTTTTATATAGCTAGCTTTTATGAATTTTTTTAATTTAAAATTTAACTTAATTGATTCATACAATTATTTTTTATACTTATAATTTTTTTATCTATTTTCGAATTGAAACCTTCTTCAAACAAAAAAAAATTATTTTTCTTGTTTAAAAATAACCAATGAAAATCAATACAAAAGAACTTGTGGATGGGTAGGGTTCATCCCAATTTTTTAAACAATGCATATAATACACAAATCACAGATGCATATACCACATGTTGGAAAGATTAGATAAAGTTTATGTAAAAAATATATAGTTGATGCCAAGGAGAGGGGTCACATCGGCACGTGGTGGTGCTGATTCCTCCACCTATTAAACTCACACTGCCACATTCCCAGTGGAAGAAAACCCTCCCCCTTCTCTCCCTCAGTCTCCAACCCCAGCTGTTGCTAGCTGTCCCTAATCTCCTCCCATGTGACCCCCCCCCCCTTCTCTTCCAAAACCTCTGGGGAGGGTGATTAAAATAAAGAAAGGAAAAAAAAGTAAAAACTATTATTATAGATATATAAAACAGTAAGAATAAAATCCCTTTGAAAAAGGGGGTAAATCATTTCCTTAAAGACTGTGATATGATGTTTGTAATGGGTAGCTTTCTCTTTTACTGTCACCCTTTCATGTTTTTTTAGGAGCAAAACAAAGATTTTTGCAACATCTTGTTTTGTGTTTGGTTTTATAGTTAGTTGGTTAGTTTGTTGATTAAGATTAGCTTTGTTTTTCATGTTCGCGCGTGTTTACACATACACGTATATCTAATTTTCTCTTCTTTATATCGAGTGCGGTTTTGGTGACATTAGCTTAGAATGGCACAATTACCTCCCAAAATACCCAACATGTCCCAAAATTGGCCTTCGTTTCCTCATCAAAGAATGCCCACAATGGCAACCTTCGTTCCCACCACTACCACCACCACCACCATGAATGGTTCTAACCACCAGCCATCGTGGGTGGACGAGTTCCTCGACTTCTCGACCGCCCGTCGTGGTGCTCACCGCCGTTCCATCAGCGACTCCATAGCCTTCTTTGAGCAACCGTTGGCGGAAGAATGTAGGGACTCCAATGCCATGATGAGGGAAACAAATGTGTTTGATCGCCTGGATGATGAGCAGCTCATGTCCATGTTCTCGGATGATGTCGCCATGACCGCGGCGACGGCTCCAACGGTATCTTCATCGAATCCCTCAACGCCGACGTCCGATCAAAATAGCAACAATAATGAGAAGCCATTTCCATCCTTGGATCTGCAACAACCCAAGAATGAACCAGGAGAGGTGGAGAGCTCGTGCAAACCTGAAACACAATCTGCACAAGCTCCACCAACCACCAATGGCGATCCCATCATTGATCCAAAGAGGGTTAAGAGGTAAAAACAGTTTAAGAACAACATCAAAAACAATAATCTAATATTGTAATAAAAAATCTAAAACATTTTCAGTAATTTAAAGCCTGCATTGATCAATTTGCATGCATAAACAACTATTTAATCATGTTATCCAAACAATTAATTACTAATTTATTTTGGGTGATAATCAGAATTATAGCAAACCGGCAATCAGCGCAAAGATCAAGAGTGAGAAAGCTGCAATATATTTCAGAACTTGAAAGGAGCGTAACAACGTTACAGGTACAAACATATATAACAAAGTTATATATTGATTATTTAACTTTGATTTTATTACTACATGAAATAATTTTTTATGATTTTTTTCTTTAAATTTTTTTTCTTAATTTGATGCAAAATGAAGACTGAAGTATCAGCATTATCACCAAGGGTTGCATTCTTGGATCGTCAAAGACTGATTCTCAATGTTGACAATAGTGCTTTAAAGCAAAGGATTGCTGCTTTGGCTCAAGACAAGATTTTCAAAGATGGTAGGACTTCCTTCTTTAATTATTGATTAATTGTTTTAATTTCTATTGTTTGTGTCTAATTATAAATAATGAAACATGGAAGCAGTAATTTTTTTAAAAAAATTAAGTAACAATCTTTTATTAAAATGTTTTAAAACCTTTAATCAGCTCATCAAGAAGCATTGAAGAAGGAAATTGAGAGACTAAGACAAGTGTATCAACAACAACAAAACCTCAAGAAAATGAACACCACCACCTCCGACAACAACAACAACAGCCACCATGAAACACCGCAACAACAACAGCAGCCGCAGCCATCGCTGCCACAGAGCGAAGAGCAACTTATAAATTGATCAGAGAAAGAGAGAGCTAGAGATCAAAGAAAGAGAAGACAGTGTGAAGCTGTGGTGCAAAATGAAAGGTAAAAAAAAAAAAAGAAAAAAACTACAAAGAGGCTATCAAACAATAGGGGGCCGGGGGGGTTGGGGCTTAGTTTTTCACGTGATGTGTTTCCCAATTGTTGTCTTTCTCTATAGTGTAGGGTCCTTGAACAAAAATTTGAAAGGGGAATTTAATTCTATTTTTTTAAGAAAAATTTGATAAGTTACTGTAACATTGTTGTGTGGGAGTTCAATTTTTTTTAATGGGGGTGGGGGAATTGGTCTTCCTTTTTCAATAATGATGAAAATGTTTTTTTTTTTTAATTGCAATTAATTGGGAGGCAAAACATGGTGGGGATTTGAAGGTGTGGGGTTGTGTTTTGGATGGATAAAAAGAGTTAGTTTTGTCAGAGACAACTGGTGGTTAATGTCTAATTGTTTGCCAAAATAAGAAAAAAATTGATTATTGGTTACTTTTTTCTCTTCTTTTTATTTTTTTAAATATTTTTCCTGATTTTTTATATTTTTTAATTTGTTTAGAAATATTAAAGGATGATCTATTCTACACCAACACAATGTGTCATTGTATTTTGCTTTGTTTTATTTTTTAACCCATCTTGACCACTTATGATTGGCTTGATTAGTCCTTTTCCTTAAGCACTTCTCTTGTCCATATTATCATATTTGTTACTCTGAATTTAATCATCTGAAGAATTTTGATAAAAAAATTGACAAATGACTGAATGGGACTCATGAAAATTTTTTTATCAATCAAAATTGTAAATTTTATTGAAAAAAATCTTCTAGATTTTTTGTCAAAAGATATTAAAATGATAATTAATTATATATATATATGTAGAATTTATGTTTTTAAACTTCCATGTAAATGATTTTACTATATATAAATACAATGAAAATCAAGAGATTGATCATAAATTAGACTGATCAATTCTTAGATATACAGAATAACCTGTGGCACCATTTACAAACAGATTGAGATCATCACTCTCGTGAGTTTCCAAGCTTCAATTGTGCCATAAGTCTGGAATGCAAACAAATCCAACATTGGACACTGATTTTCACTTTTTCTGGAATGTAACTATACTAATTCCCTATGTTAATCACTTCTGTCGATTAAAATGTATGCAAGTTCCAATTTCTCTTTTTAGTTTCCCTTCCTCCAGACCAAGTTGTTTAGATTCAAACTTTTAAACTTAGGAAAATGTATTATGAAGACTTAATTTTTGGGTTTCTTGCTCTTTCTGAGAAGAGCTTAATTCTGGTTTCAACCCATCTTTTAATTGCAGATGCCAACAGTAATTTCCAATATTCATTTTTTTATGTATAAGCATCGAATTGTTTCCTGATTTGCAATGGCTTGCATATACTATAAGAGAAATTGTTGACATGGTTCCTGTTGCAAATATTTCACCATCATCCAAATCCATTTCAACACAGTTCTCAGTTGTAAGCCATTGTTTCTAAGGCCATAGCCTCCCACTTTTAGAAAGTAGGCCCAGCAACGGCAAAGCCCTTGCAATATTTTGCCAGAAATAACATGGCTGTAGTCACTTGGTGAAAGCTGCTATCTCATTGTTTCTAAGGCCATTAGCAAGATCTTCAGGAAGGTCTAGGAATGGTTATTATTTTCGTAAGTAATGTTTTCAGTGTTAGTAGTTTCATTGGAATGGTTATGGTTCAATTTAAAAGAATCAGATTATAATAGATTGTACACAACAAGAAGAAGATGAGATACCATCTTCAAATGAATTACAGTTAATATTTTCCATTGGAAAGAAAGAATCTGTAAGGCAAAAAAAATGGCAGATGCTTAGCAGCTTCTTTAGAGAGTTCAATTGCCAATCCAGTGAAAGAAGTTTCATTTTTCAATTCATATTCTGTTTCCTCTTTCGGTTTAAAACCAAAAGAAATTATGTCTTTTTTATGATATAATAAACAATTTACTACATAATATGAAAAATAATCTATGCCAATTCCATGAGTTCCATCAGAATAATTATTAAGCAATTGACAATTAATAAAGTTCAAACTAAAATTTGCAGATAAAACCAATAATGATCCTGAAATATTTCTTCTTCACTAAATTTGAGTGAAAATTTCTACAAATAATTTCTGAATTTTACAAGAATGCGAAAAAAAAAGGAAAGAGGAACGTTTAAGAGGATGCACATCTGCAGCTAGAAAACAGCTGGTTGTCTGACCAAGCGATGGTAAGTTTCTGCCAAAGCATCTTGAAGAAAACTTCTTTGCGGTGCCAATAATGTCCGGTCAGGAAAGAGGAAATGATTAAAGAGTAGCCTAAAAGCAATCCAGTGTTCACGGGGATCCCCATTAAGAAATCTTTCCGTGACTTTGACAAGAAATCCCTTGTCAATGCAATGGCACCGCCAGGTCTTTCAGGTTTTTGATAGAATCCCATGGTGGTTTTCTGGTCATGATCTTGACACCAAAGCATCCCAACTACCATAGGTTCTAAGAAGCAGTGATGCTGGCCATTTGTTTCATTAAGCAAGCAATGAGAGAGAATAAAAAGCAAATCTTTATCTTGTAATCTTTCGGTTTTTTTTAAGACCTGGTTTGGGTATGTTGTTTATGAGCTTGTCTGGGCTTGTTTTCTTTTCTCAAAATTGTTTGGGCTTCTTTTTAAAATTTGTTGTTGCTTCTACTCAGCAACGAGTCTGGCTTCGCTTCAGATGTTTAGAGCCTGCGATGGACACTTTGACAGTACCTTATTTAGATTTGTTTTTGGGTTTGGTTAAGGTGTAATTTGAATCAAATCAAATCGATATATTGATAAGTTTAAGTTTTAGTTTGATTTAAAATTTGATTTGAATTCGATCAAATTTTAAGTTTTTAAGCTTAAGTTTAACTCGAAATAAAAATCGAATTATTTGAATTTGTTCTATTAGATTTGTTGAATAAAAATAGCTTATTTTTATGCTTAATTTTAAATTCAATTATATATTCGAATTTAGTTTGAATGGATATATATATAAGAATAAAATAATAATTTTTTAATTAAAAAATTTAAAATATATTAAAATATAAAATTTGATTAAATTCATAAATTACTCAAATCGTGTATTAAATTGTTTGAACTCAACCTATTCAATAAGTTAAGCTTGAATTGATAATGAACAAGTTGAATTCAAATTTTATTTGAATAAAACTCGAGTAACTTGCAAAAATTGGGGCATCATTTATACCTTGTATCTATAATGAGAAACACATGAAAATGTAATAAATTTTAAAGCTAATCATCGAATTATTCTATAGCCGTTGGATTACTCTCAATCCAAAGATCATCGCCTCACTATAAATCTTACTAGGTCTAGCAAATCTATAACTTGTCAACGCCTTGTTCTCCAAGTAATTAAGTAAAATTGTTTACCCCTGTAGCTCTTTGTAAGAATTGAATATTTGTTAAGTTCATTAATTACTTTTTAAGAGATGTTTAATTCGTAAAATCTTAAATTTCAAGAGAAAAAGTATTTTTTGGAGAAGTGTGGATTGCTGATAATAGATGATTCTCCTCATCGTAAGAATGTTATATTCATGTATTTGATTCGCAGAATCTTAGATTACATACTGAAAGTTTTTTAATATAATATTTTTCATAACATGTGAATAACACGTGACAAATATTTTTACTACCAATTGATGTTATTAAAATTAAACATGTGACAACCATTATATAATAAAAATAAAGAAGGTTTTCATTTTTATTATGTTTAAAATGAGGTTGTATATTATAAACAATATATATATATATATATATAAAATAAAGTTCAAAGAAGACTTTTTTTAATATAAACATAGTCTTTAAAAAGTATTAAAAAAATCATTGATCCAATCACTTCGTTTTTATTGTATAAATGTGATATTTATAACAAACACTATATTTTTATGATAATAAACGCAATGTTTAAGAAATCATCATATATATATAATTCAAATATTTTGTAATAAATGCCAAGTTTTTTTTTTACATAACTTATAAATTTATACATCTTAATTATATTACATAAAACACAATAAAATTTTGATTGTCTAATATTTATTTGGATTGTTGACTTTTAATTTTCTTGTATTCATTTTTTTTAAACCATTATTTTAAAATGTATTCATCAACCTTTTAGTTTTGTAACATTTATATTTTTCGCTTTTGATTTTCTTATGACTTATGATCTTCTATCTCTTTAAAGGGTGAGAATTATATGAGTGTCTTTTATGTCTTTATTACACTTTTTTCTTTCAATTATTGTTTGTCATATTATTCTTATTATTTACTCTTAATTTTCTTGTATTCATTTTATTTAAAACCATTATTTGTTAAAATTTACTGATCAAACCCTAGATTTTGTAACATTTATATTTTTGACTTAATTTTGATTTTCTTATAATTTATGATTTTATATTTCTTTTAAGGGTGAGAGTTATATGAATTGTTTTCATGTCTCTTTTATATTTTTTTTCCAATTCTTATTTGTCATATTATTTGAATTATTGACTTTTGATTTTTTTATATTCATTTTCTTTAAAATTATTATCTATTAAAATTTATTGATCAAATCTTTAGTTTTATAACATTTATATTTTAACCTTTTGATTTTCTTGGGACTTATAGTTTTTCATCTTTTTCAAAATATAAGAGATTATATGAGTGTCTTTTATACCTCTATTACACTTTCTTCTCTAAATTCTTATTTATCGTATTACTAATTATGCGGGATTATTTTTTATTGTGTTTTTATTTTGTTAATTTTATAGTTTTGTAATGTTTTAATCATGATCTATGTTTTTTTCACATTTCATGCTTGTTTATTAGTCAATTGATGTATTTTTTAGTGTTTTTATTTTTCTTATAATTTTTACATTTTTACCGTGATTTTTTTTTGTGCAGTTTAAGCTTGGCTATTAATCATTACTAATAATAAGATTTGTTTATTATT